AGGAAATGAGTAAAAAAAGCCCAACTGTGAAGTTGGAGCTCTTTTGTTTTTTCCTGTATATAAAAGCCATTGAAAAAGCAAACCCCACAGAATGTTCTATAAATGGGGAACATTATGTAGGTGCAACTTCATTTACATGACTTTGAACAGAAATTTTACACTGCATTGCAAGTAAGAACACGTAATTCACCATGAAGGAGATTTTTATCCCATTTATTATTCTGCTAATTCTTAATAGGAGAATAGTGTTAAAGTAGATTTATATATTTAGAAACTAAACCAAACTCTGGAGCTAACAGGAGAAAGTGATGTTATAAAACCCAGAGTAAAACGCAAGGTCAGCAAAGAGAACTGGTGGAAACTATTCTTTAGAACTTAAGAAAACACATCACATTTCATTAAAAAGTGGAGTTAACAGAATCCGCTTCAGGCTCGTCGTTTGGTATCAAACATCTCAACTGGCTTTTGAGGAAGATAGGCATATATTCAAACTGCCTTGCAGTGTGCTAAGGTGACAGTTAGCTATGCAATCTCGGTGCTGAAGCCAACTAATGCTCCATTGTTACAGGAAGTCAGTGAAGTAATTGTGTAATGCCACTGACTAATGTAAGGTGTCCTGAAAGCAAGAAGGGGTGGGTTTTCTATCAATCTGGATCCAATTTTCTTCATTAAATAAAAAAATAAAAAGAAATCCAGCCTTCTCTGTCCTGGGAACTCTCTACAACTATTTTGTGTGCTCCAAGTCTCGTAACAGGCCTGGGGGATTTCTTAGCATCTTATTGCATTTCTTTATACCTTTCCCAGCACAGCAGTTCAGGCCTTGAGAATGTAGTAATAACACAAAGCATCTGAAAATGGGAGCAAGAGGAAGGAAGACAGAAATCTCCCTTCCAACATACAACCATCTGTACACTCCCTCAGATAAACAACTAAATGGAACAGATCTTCTACTCAGAGACTGCACCTTCCCATACATACTCTATCAGAAACGAGGAGCCGCAACTTGCTAGACTGCCCCAGCACCAGGCAAAGAGCAGGATCACCTGTGATTTGTTTTGTTTAACTGAGCCCTCCTGCCATTACCTCACACACAAAGCTCTCTGAAGAAAGAATATTAAGCTGAAGTTAAGTGAGTTTCCATTGCAAAACAAGATGCAGATGTTCCACCTCTGAATACATGCCTGGATCGAGCACTTGTTATTCAATACGAAGCACTGGGAATGCAGACTACAGACTGGTATAGAATGGTTCTGCTTCATGGCCTTTGCACCTTGGTGAGGACAGCAGTCTCCCAAGAGTTTTCTGATGTCTCTGAGCTCATTAGGGAGAAAACAACAATATGAAAGCACTATTATTAAACTGGCCATTGTTGATAACTGGCAGCAAATGTTTAGTAGGAGGATATCAGATGTATTCATGTTAAAAATCAACATCCAGATGACAAGTCGACAACTCTCTAATTATTACTTCTTTTCTTTCTTACTGCACTAAGTATCTTACAATAAATTGCTTGAAACAGTTGATCATTGCCAATGCAACTGTCATTTTCCCACTGGCAAAGACTGAACATTCTCATTTGAATGATTTAAAATTTTCTTTCACTGGAGAGGGAGACAAAACTCAAATGGTCTTTTTTATGCTACTTGGTAAAAAAACCACCATGTTGTTATCATTTTCCTCCAAAAGCATCAATCAGACTTGAGATTATCACAGGGCATCACCAGGAGCTCGAAACTAGTAATGACATTAAGAAAACACTCAAAAGGACACCAACTACTGGTATGAAACAAACAACTCTAAGGAAAACAAACTCATTTAATCTGTGATTCAAAATTCTGGACACCCTTTCAGAAAGCTCTCTCACCTCATCTCTGGTTCTAATCCTTTTGCTGGCTGTGGCTCTTTATTATATGAGTGTGAAGAACTTTCCATCATATTACAGAATCACAGAAGTGCAAGACCTAGAAGACACCTCTGGAGACCATCTAGTCCAAACCTGCTCAAAGCCAAGCTCAACTAGGACAGATTGCTCAGGGCCGTTTCCAGTCAGGTTGTGAACATCTCCAAAGGTGGAGATTCTAGAACCCCTCTAAGCTACCTGTGCCAGGGTTACACTAACTTCACAGTGTTGAGGTAACTTCAACTAAGGCTGAAGGCAAACTTCAGTTAAGGTTCTGTATTGCAAGGCAGGCAGCTCCATCTGCAACATGCCATTATTTCTTCACAGCTAAGGAGAACTTCTAGATCAACTATTTCCACCACCCTCAACAAAAGGACACTCTTCTGTCCATAGGGCAGATAAACAGCACTCTATCAATAAATGTTCCCACATTCAATGGAGCATGATCATGAATGACGCTACTCAGGAACAGAAAGAAGGCACAGCTGAGGTTTCTTGCACCTACTGGTCAACGAAGACTCACCAAGGGCTGGCATAACCCAGTAACCTGAAGCTTACACATAACAAATTGCTATCTGTAACTCTTGCTGGGCAAGAAAAAGCATGGCTTGTCATAGGACACAAATTATATTCTTGTACTCCATCTTGAACCAAAGGGCTGCCAAATGCACATGATGGAAGAACCTTTCCTACTTCTTACATACCAATACATCTCTCATCCATAAGCTGCAGCTACAAATGAATGGCACACAGTTCTAGTGGCTTGCGGCAGAGATGAAAGATTAAAACCACTAGTAAACCTTCTAAACTGAGATGCCAGTTATCTCGATAAGCAAAATCAAGTGTTTGGAGAGAAAATCTAAGGGAATAAGGAACCCATCTCATTTACTTCCCATGGCATATAGGCCCATAATTCTTTCCTCTGAAATTTCAAACCTGTTTTCACATCATACAATGTATTTGTATCTTATCCTACATCTGCAAAAGTACTTTTCAGGAAGGCATCTATTTATAAGTAGTTCAAGTATGACCTTCAATAAATCCTAATTAACTGCGTTTGAAAGGGCACTTTGTTGTCAGCATAGTTACTACGGCAGCAGTGTCTTTGAAAAGACAAGATCCATCACTGCCGACACAACTCACTTCTAAAATAAATACTACGGCAGAGGCATGGAAGATCTGTAGGCATCTCTAAAACACTCTTCGAGTTCAGTGCAGATGTTGCCAGTGTTTATACTTTCTAAACCACTGGGATATAAACACCTCACTATAAACACCACTGAAGTTTTGCTTTTCTTTTCTTCATTTTGTGTGTGTTTATTTTAGTGTTAAAAATGTTAACTTCCAGAATAAGGAAAATAGCAACAGATGTTCAAGCTAAACAAAGACTGTTACAGTAGAGTGTATTCCTTAAGCTGTTCCTTTGCCTTTGAGCTATTAAAGCTAAGATCTGGTTAAGTAACAATTATTGGAAAAGTGGGTAGGGGGAAAAAGCATCTGGAAAAAACCTTCAATAAATATCAGGCATAATTATAATGAATTGAACTAATGAGCCAAAACTACAGTTTTTCTGCCTTAGTCAACAAAACACTCAGGAATATGTACCATGTAAACAGAATTTTATGCAAAACTTCAAGGTTTACATCAATAGTTGTCAGCTGCTTCCAAAGAAAACACTGGTTACTGCAGAGAGCCATGAAAAAGTTAAAGGCCCCTGAAAGTTGTTTTTCCTCTTCCTCTCCCCCTTTTTTAACTAGTTTTCCTCTTGTAATGGTAAAAGCACAGAATAAGAAAGAGCTTGGAAATGGAACTCTATTGAATCGCAGCTCTGTATTATTCAGTACTAATGGGCAAGCTCAAGCTTTTGTAAAAGAGCTTTATTCAAGCAAATATATACATATTTGTGCAGGAAAGAAAAGGAAAAGAAGGGGGAAAATGGAACAGAGATGTTAACAGGGAGCCCCTGCACTTCCCAAAGGATAGCTATGTGGCCATGCTAGTTTAATGATGGAAAAGATGGTGTTTCCAAAGCGAGGTTCAGCTCCCTGCCTTCCGGCCTAGGCTCTTTCTGAAGGATGTGAACAGACAGCTGCCAATCCTATGCACACCCCTTCTTGTTTCTTCCCTGACAACTACAGCAAGTTTATTTTCCAGATGAACGTGGAAAATGTTCCTGCTGAATCAGAAGAAAGATTTCTGCAACGCTTGTGTGTGGCTACAGCAAAAACAGCCCTACTGCCAAGCTGAATTAGCTCAATGGTGCCTTTCTTTCCAGTCAAAGCCAAGCCATAACCACTTCTTCAAACTGCACGTAGATAAAACTCCACTCGAGCAAGAGTTTCACTCCGTTACCTCAAGCAACTTCCAAGCAGGGCCGTGAATGCTAACAAGAGGCAGAACGAACCTTAGCTGAAGACAACAAAGTAAGATTCAGAGTGCAGGGAAGAGCAGAAAACCTGCGTTTTCCAACTAGTTGTGTAATTCTTTCCCCGGGGAGAGGAGTGTGGGGCGGTTCTCGGGGGGGGGGGGGGCGGAGGAGGGGCGGCCTCTCGCCGGGGCTCTGCGAGGCGTGCGGGGAAGGAGAACCCGAACAATGGGCGGCTCTGTGCTGCCGCCGGCGCCTCGCCAGCCCCGGGGCCGGCCCGCGGGACCCGGCCGGGCCCCAGCGCCGGGCCTCGGGGCCCCGCTGTGGGCAGTGCCCCGGGGCCCACCCTCCGCGGAACCGCCTCTGGCCCCGGAGCGGGCCCGGTGACGGGGACTGACGCCGGGTAACTCGCACCCGCCTGACAAAGTACTTGTGGTGCAGCTGCTGGCGCTTGCCGCAAAGCCCCTGCCTGCCGCGGCAGCAGCGCGGCCGAACGGACCGTGCCTGCGAGAAAACGGAACCTGACAGTAAAAATGCTCTTTACGAAGCCCTCCCCCCCACCAAAAAAAAAAAAAGTCAATTAAAAAGAACTAAACCCCTTTCTCCAAACCAAGCTTTGGCAGCACAGACTGCGAGATGCCCCCGACCGCCCGCGATTCCCTTCCCAGAGCAGAAATCGCGCTTACGAACAGGACCCGCACCGACAAACGGCGCTCCGCGGCGCGGAACCATTACCTTCGTAGCACAGAATGCCGATGTTGTTGTTCATCTTGTCCAAGTACTGGTAGTTCAACAGGTCCATCTTCATCAACAGCATTTATCGTGCTGGCAGAACGGACCAGCGCGCTCGCTGCCGCCGGGGCTCGGGGAGGGGGCGGCCGGGACGCGCCCGGCTTCCAGCGGTACCAGCGCGGGGCGCAGCCTCCCGCGGACCGGCACCGGGGGTGGGGTGAGGGGGGGAGCGCGGAGGGGTTACAGCGCACACACGGTCCCTGCCGAGCTCCGGGGAACTAACACGGTCTGTGTGCTTCCATAGGGAACGTGGAGCGGCTGGAGCGGGAGCGCGGGGAGGAGAGGCCCGGGAGGACGCCGAGGACAAAGGCGCGGTCCCGCCCGCGGCCCGCCGCGCGCTGACTGCCTGCCTGCCTGCGCGGACACGCGGGCTGCGCGCGCCCTGCCGCGCATGCGCAGAGGGCGCCGGGCGGCTGAGGGGAGGAGAGCGGCCTGCGCCGGGCAGAGGCGCATCGGGGGCGGCTCCGCGAGCAGGGGCCCGTCCGTCGGGGTGAAATCAGCTCTGCTGCGCGTTTGCTTCATTTCCTGGCGTGGCCTCAGGCAAGGCCAGGGCTGGTGCAGTGAAAATAACAATTTTACATGGCCGGAGCAGAACTTCAGCTCTGCTGCGACAAAGACAACTAAAGCTGGAGAAATGAGGTGTGGGGGGCATGAACTGCACGCACGTACAGCCACAGGTCAACCAGGGCACAGGCACGGTGAAGTTATTGGAGCCAGTTAAACATCTTGCACTTATAACGAGTGCTGAAGCTGCAGTTTCAAAGGCACCGATGATGGGGAGTTCCTCCCTGTGAGGGTGCTGAGGCGCTGGCACAGGGTGCCCAGAGAAGCTGTGGCTGCCCCATCCCTGGCAGTGTTCAGGGCCAGGTTGGACACAGGGGCTTGGAGCAAGCTGCTCTAGGGGATGTAACTGGAGGAGGTTTGAGGCCCCTTCCAACACAAACCAGTCTGTGAATGTTGCAGGAGTTGCTCTCCCCTCAGGTTGTGACTGCCCATCTGCAGCCCAGACCTCAGCCACAAAGGCTTGTAAGGGGCCAGAGCACCTGCACAGGTAATAAGCATGTGCTCACTTGATGGGCATCAGTTTGCACTTCCTGTGGCTGATCAGCACCTGAAGTCCGAGTTCATTTAAAAAAAAAAAAAAAGAAATACTAGGAAAGTTTGGTGTAAGACAGCAAAGAAAGAGCAGAGAAAAGAAAACCTAAGCTAATGGAGTCCTGATCTTCCCCCTGCCTCCCTCTGCCCGCTTGGCTCATCCTGCCCTTCTAGGATGAGGAGTTCTAATGGGACACACAGGAGCAAAGACTCACTGAGAACCAGAAACAAACTTCCATTTCCACCTGAGAATTTTTCCCCTCTGTTAGAAAAGGAGACTATCATAGAACAGAATCACAAAATAGTTTGGGCTACATTAGAGAGGCAACTTGCGGAGCAACATTTTGTCAAGGCATTGAGAAGTGCTGTTTGAATGCTCTGGGTATGTCAGTGAGACCAGACACCTTACACTGATAAACAGGAATAAAAATTTTATCTCTAGGGAAGATTCTCTAGAACCCAAATAAGGTTTTTCCTCGCCTGAGATACAAAAAAGTAGTCCTACCCACATGCTTCAGTTGCAGGAGAAAGCCTAACAAAGCTGAATTCAACAGAGCTGAATTCAACACAGCAGGCAACAAATCCCCTGACTGGAATTCTGCACTGCTGGGAAGATGAAGGTCAAGATGAAGGCCTTTTATTGATGGTTTATATGCAACAAGGGCACTCTCCTAATTGGAAGTGCAATTAGTCTTTTGAGACTTCAACATGGTGTAAGAACTTACGGGTCCTCATCACTATCAGTAGTACATTTCTTGGATGGTACCTAATAAAAAGGTTGCAGTTGCTTTTCTGCCTCACAAGGATTTGTCACCATAAAAGCTGCACCACACATCTCCAGCCCAAAGGAGTGTGTGCTGTTTTGTTGGAAGGGAAATGTCTTTTATAAAGAACACCGAGATTTTTAAGCAGGAGTTTTATATAGCAGATCATGATGTGCCTACTCAGAGATATTTTATGCTAATGCTTCAGATTAAATGAACCATTTCATAAAGGCATCAAGAGAGGCCTAAAGTCCTTTAAGATATAAACTGAGACAAAAAAAAAACATACCTACAACATTAACAAAAGAGAGGCACGTTTCTTACTTAAGCATGACAAAGCTTTTGGGGAAAAGTATTTCTGATACATACAGTTTTTACTATAGAGAGCATCCCTGAAATCACTTAATACAACACATTTAATAGATGCTTGGGAAGGATAAGAAGAGCTAAGAATTTTTTTTTTTTCCAATTTAAAATGTTTGACTTTTTTCTCCAGAAAACACAGGTTATGAGGAAGAAATGAATATTCTATACTTATGTAGAGCAGTGGTCTACAGGAGAGGACTTGAACACTGTGTGTTAGCTACAAAAGGGCATTACAGTTCGGAGTCCAATGTGAATTCCCCTCTGTATTCAAAGATATATATTTCTCAGCTTGTCTGGAAAAGCAAGGTTGGGGATTGCCTACAGCTCCCTGAGTACTCAGTAGTGCTGTGCAGATGCTAATGAAGAAGTTAACTCTTCTTCATTAGAATAGTAGACACTGGTCTATAGGTTTTTAGAAAACAGCGATCACTTTAATATGTGAACGGCTTTCAACAGTGCAGGACACACAGTGATTAACACTGTCAGATGTTGTGTAATGAACTTAGATGTTTCAGATTAAATAATAATAATAAACTGGTATCAAACCCTGGGAACTATGAATTTATAAATTAAATTATCTATACTGAAAGGCAACGCCTAGTGAAAGAACAGGGGGAGAAATCACACAAGTAATGTATCTCAAGCATTCTAAACCAACAATCTATTCATAAGAAATCATTCTTTGAAAGAAAACAGCTACATTAACCAGCAGACATTAACCTTAAATACTGACTTAAATATGGGTCACCCTAAAATACTCTGTTCTTGACAGCAAAGAATTCCCAACTGTGTGATTCAGACTGCTGTCCATCAAACACTTCACCACTGTGAGATACCATTCACTGAACTGGAAGCAATAATTGATGCATCAGCAGGTTAAATGCAATATACATGGAAAAAACCAGCTATTAACATCACCCCGGGGCCTTTGTTAGTTCATTCTGTTCTACATATTGATAGCTGCAAACACAGTTACATGCTGTAGTATCTCTGCTTCATACTAGCTAGAATACTTTTTACAGGATTGCACACACTTATTCTGTAAGGCAGATAAATACCATTATCTATGTACGAAATGTTTGAAACACTGAACTTTTAACACAACAGCATCCCCTAGAGGTAGCTGAAAATCCACACGTGTCCTGAATCCCTCTCGAGGTCACACTGAAGTACCTTGGATGTGATTCCCATCATCCCATAAAGCAGATGAGATCAACCTCTTAAAGCTCTAAGGCACTTTAATACAGAAAGCAAATTCAATCTTCTCACACGAATGTCTTATCACAGAAGTATTCCGAGGCAAGGAAAGCAAATGAGGAAAAAAAAACAACCAAGCAAACAAACAAAAGGAAGTTCTAAAGAACACGTCAATCACCACTGTCAAAACTAGGAGGCTAAATATGTATTTTTGACAGGACAAAGGATAATGCGTTCAACTGTCAACAGGGGAGGTTCAGGTTAGGCCTTAGGCAGAAGTTCTTCCCTGTGAGAGTGCTGAGGCGCTGGCACAGGGTGCCCACAGAAGCTGTGGCTGATCCATCCCTGGCAGTGTTCAAGGCCAGGTTGGACACAGGGGCTTGGAGCAAGCTGCTCCAGTGGAAGGGGTCCCTGCCCATGGCAGGGGTTGGAACTGGATGACCTTTAAGGTCCCTTCTAACCCAAACCACTCTGTTTTCATCATGGCACCAGCTGAGAATCAACACCATAAAAGAACAATGTTGAAGCCGTTCACTTGAACACAACTGACATTTCAACCTTGATCATCAGCAGGAACTATTTCTACAGTGACCAATTTTGCAATGTATAAAAAAAACCAAAAAAAAACAACAAAGCAGTCTTTATAGAGGTGAGATACACTCTGATGTAGAACAACATCCAGTATTGCTCAGGACAATTCCATTTTTGAATGGACAGAAATATGTGTTGCAGCTCCTGAGGTCAGAGAGGTATTTATGATACACTGCCTTTTAGCTGATACCATTCTCCAAGGAGGAGGTGGAGGAATAAAGCAGGAGTACTTAGCTACAGGTTTTACTACTTTCCTTCAGCCAAAACACGAGCAAACTGTAGTTAATAGCTGCTAGGTGGCGATGTGCCTGAAGGGAAAACACTGCTGTTGGTTTTCCACACACCCAACTGCACAGTTGCCACACTTACCACCTCGGGTTTTATTATTTCAGTTAGAATACATTTCACAGCTAAAAAGTAAAGGAAAAGTCTCATTTAATCAAGATGGGGTGTTTGCTTTTAAATATTTTCAGATATGGTAAGGAATACAGTTAAAACATATTAAATACACAGGATGCTCAGAGGTGCATAAGGGAAATGACACTTCTAGTTTCTTACAAGCAGCCATCTCAAGATATTTGATCACAAACTACCTTTTCTTTTTCAGAGCCCTAGAAAATAAATCAATAAAAGCAATCTCTACCAGGAAGAACATCTCTGAATGAAAACCAGTGCATTCCTTCTTGTTTTACCAGCCCTCTGCTAGCCAAAGGTTTCAACAATATGCCAGACATTATAGAACATGTTTTTATTATTACCAGTGCACTTCCTTAGGCCTGATATTAAGTTGTAGCAAAAGAATTTGTATGTTCTCTTTCATTCTTGTCATACCCTAACTTAGGCAATCCTGCTTAGAAAACACTCATATCTAGCAAGGAAATCTGTTTATGAGTGCGCATGTGTACTTGTCTGCATCCATCATAAGCCACTGGGTCACTCAAGATAGGAAGCTCTCAACTGCCTGAAGGACCAAGCCAGCAGACATCCTGCTCTCAGCTCCCTGCTGGCCTAATAAGAATAGAACTACCAGGGAAACAAAAAACATAGTGATGCCCAAAACTATCTTGAATTGCAAGTCTCCGAGAGTGGCTGGCACTGGCTTGTCTGCACTGGGGGCTGGATGTTTTTATGTATTTTTAAAATGTTTAGCTGTCCTGCGGTTCTTACTCTCTATTAGCCACTTTTTTGAACACATTTAAAAAATGTTATTTCCCTTGTGAATGTAAATACAAAATTCAGCTCACTTATTTGTAAATATTTAGCCATTTAGAAGCAGCCATTTCACACCAGATCAAAAGCCTCCAAGACATTTATCAACTCAAAAAGCTTTCAGTTAGTTAAAGCCTGCTCTCATCAGCAACAGCCTGCTCCCTCTGT